ATATATATATATATATAATATACAACCCAGTGATCAAATCCCAATCTAACAGTTTTTGACCATATGCCAATCTGATTATTCATAAATAAGTAGTCAATCCATGAATATACAGACCTGCAGGGCGGGACTCTCTAAAATCATGAGACTCAGTTCTGTAATTATCTGTTGGATCAAAGTGGCGTTTGGGCTTTTCTTTAGTGACGGTTCCTAGTTGGAATCGCCGGCATCAGTCATGCTTCCCTTTATCATCAGTTCAAAGGGGCTGTTGCTCCCCGGTGGAGCAGACATGTTAAATAAAGTTATTGGTTTATAGATTCATTATCTTTCCCCTGTCAGATTAACGTGTCATTAGGGTTGGTTCTCCCCTCCCACCTGATTGATCAGAGGAATTATTGGAATCTGAGCCTTTTTTATTTCTCATCTTCAGAAGAGCAGAAATGTGTTTGTAAAGTCTGCCACTAAATTATCTGCAGCTTTTCCTTCATTTCAGTAATAATTTTTCTGCTTTTATTGAATGATTGAACCCATTTAGATTTACTGTAATGTTACTACTCTACATTCCAGACGCTGCCGATCATTTTCCAAACCGTGTAAACTCGTCTGACATCAAAAACAACCAAAGATATTCGATGAGCTAGAAATCCAAGAACCAATGACGTCCAAGGCCGGGAGCAGGTCTATGACATCATTACCAAAGTGTAGAACCTGTCTATGTCTTTAGGATCTGTCCAGGACTATAGAACAGGTCAGAGTCTATAACAGCTTTTATATTCACTCATTTCTGAGTTTCTGGATTTCGTTGTAAATAAACTTCATTGTTGAATACGATACTTGCCACTGTCGTATTTCTCTTGGCACTAGGTCTTTTTCTGCTTCCTTCTCCATCGCTAATGTTGGTACGTCACTTTTTCTAAGGGGATGATGTCACACTGGGTGGGAGGGACGTTTTCAAGCAGCCATCAGAGGTTCTGTCATTATTATTACTTTAACTCTTTATTCATCTTTGCTGCTCATTTATTCATTCATTGACCCGTTCAGGTTAAACGTCGAGGAACATTCATCAGATGTTCTGATCGGGTTCTGTTTATCCGCCTCGGATCAGCGCCGCTGTAGAGAAACGCAGTCACTCAGACACCGGATGAGAGAATTTATTTATTATTAAACAAATGAGTCGGAATCAAAAAATGAATAAAAATAATCTGTTTAATTTCCTTCCAGTAAATGATTCCTGAACCAGATCAGAACCAACAGGATCTACAGCTGGACCCGCCCGGCTCAGCTTGGTTAATGAGGTTCTACAAAGGTCGAGTTCTGATGCAGCAGCCCTTCATCCCAACGCTGAGGATGATGATGGTGGTGCCGCTCACCGCCGCTCCTCCAGGGACCGGTTCTGAGGTTGGGACAATGTTACTGAAGACAGAGGTTCTGAGGCCCGGCGGTTCCACCGTAGGAAGCGGTTCTGACCCAGATGTAGGCAGACAGGTCGTTCCAAATGTTCTGAAAAGTTTCTGATTAGATGAAGCCCTGATAGAATAAATCCTGGTCCTGATGGTCTCCGTCACAGAACCAGGATCCAGACCGCCATGGATGGGGCTGAATCGGACCGCCGGGCCCCAGGCTCCCTGAGGTGTTTGGTTCTGACGGAGGAGCTTCAGCAATTCAGTCAGAACTTTGCAGGTCTGATGAATGAGAGAAGCGGCGTTGTGAGCGGGGCCGCGGCGGCCCCCCCGGCCCAGTCCGCTGCAGCCTCTTCAGCGCCTGAGGGTGGTACTTGAGGAAGATCCTGCGGGCGATCTGGAAGGTGTCCCCCTGCGGTTTGCTCGAGTAGTTCCTCCCGTTGGAGATGAAGCCCTGCTCCACCTGGAACACCGCCTGGTTGAAGGAGTCCTGCTTGAACGGAACCGCCCTGTCCAAACAGTCCACCAGCGTGTGGACGAACAGCGCCCACCGCTGGGCGTAGTAGTCCTCCACCAGCCCCCCCCACTGCTTGTTGGCGTAGTCCAGGATCTCCCCACTGGGGCCCCACAGGGTGATCTGGTTCCTGGCGTTCATGTCGTACAGCTGGGCCTCGCGCTCATTCAGGGCCTTGGACCGGGCCCGCTCCAGCCACGTCCCCAGCAGGAAGTTCTGGTTGCTGCTCAGCAGCCGGTCCAGTTCAGGCAGGAGGTCATAGACCAGCACGCCGCCCGCCGTCAGCAGCTCCGCCATCTTTTTGTTGGCGTAGGCGTCGGCGATGTCCTGGTAAAAGGACGAGGTCAGATCCTGCAGGACCTGCCGGGTCAGGTCCACCAGGTCGTACTGAAAGGTCTCTTTGGACATGAAGGTCGGCGCCGCATCCATGAAGAGCTTCCAGGCCTCCAGCAGGTCCGCCGGGTCGTACCACAGGTCCGTCCTCATCTTCAGTGAAGGCCTGCGGACCAGCGGGCTGTGGTTGTGGTTGACGTAGTGTAGCCAAGTGCAGTTATAGACGCCACCCAGCAGGAGGCGCCACGCCGCCGTCAGCTTGTCGTCCATGCTGCCGTAGCGCCGCGCCGCGTACAGGGACACCCACTTGGTGAGGTTGACAGGCTCCCGGCGCCACGCCAACTCGCTCATCAGTTCGTAGATGACCGGGTTTTGCTCGATGCCCTCGGGCGTCATACCCAAACCCACCAGGGTGGAGTTGGGGAAGCTCAGCGCCTGGAAAGGCCCCGAGTTGATGCTCTCCACTGTGCCGAAGAAGCCGTTGTTGCCCCCAAAGTTGTGCAGCATGCACCAGATGAAGGGCTGTCCGTAGAAGGACTCGGTGTATGTGAAAACCGGGTCGGCCTCTGCAAACAGGTCCAAAACGATCATCCTCCCCAGAGGGACGCCGTGCAGCAGGGCCTGGATCTGTGGAGGCTTCCAGAAGGATGGGTCGCTGTAGAACAGCCAGCCTTGCATCAACCAGATGGCGTCAGGATCAACTAGGGGGGAGAGAGCGGTCAGAGATTGACAGTTCTAGAAGGACGGGTGGGGGAGGGGCTTAGAACCTCACCTGCAGTCATGGAGGCGAAGACAGAGCGGCTGACAGCAGACAGGTAGTTGGTGTCGCTGGAGGGGGGGGTCATCTCATTGAAGGTGTCCGTGTTGTAGATGTGGTCCGTCCCAAACGTCTTCACCACCTGGGACAGGTAGAGGGAGCCGATCTGCAGGAAGAGCGGGTCCCGGGGGTCCAGGATGTAGGAGCAGGAGAAGCTGCAGTTGAAATGGGCCCACGGTCCCAACCGGGTCACATTGGCTTTAGGGAACAACCTGGAACACAAACAGCAGGGTTAGACGGAACCGGCGCCGCCCGCTCCTCTGAGGAGACGTCTGGAACCATGACGGCTTTGCTGGTTCTACTGGTTCTGATCAAATCCAAATCAGGATCCAAAATCAATCATAAAATTTTCGTTCTGAATCATTTTAAAATATTATCAGAAGTAACAGACAACAGCAGATCTATCATCATCATCATCATCATCATCAGGTTTGGTTCCACTTATACCAGAAGGATCCGTCTGAACGTAGACCTTCAGAACCAGTTGATCCAAGCAGATATGATTGATTGATTGATTGATTGATTGTATTGATCTCAGAGGGGAGAAATGTACTCGTTCCATCAGCTCAAACAGAGGAGAAGGTGGATGGGAAAGATACAGTATAGACAGAGCGTCCACATATGACGGACTGTATATACTGTCTATCTCCACCTGTATTCAGAACCGCTTCAACAGGAAAACAACGGAAATATTTCCTGTTTCCAAAATCAAAGCATGAATTCCTCACAAGCAGACATCCTTCGTTCACCATGAACCACATCTGGACGTCAAATAACGCAGAAAACTGGATGCTGGATCAAATGCTGGTCAAAATGTCGCTTTGACGCTTTGCTGCTTCAGCTTTATTTACTTTATGAGCTGGTAAAATTGTTTGAACAGGTTTTTAAGTGAGAAAGTCCACCTCCAAACATCCTCTGTTCATCAGGATTATAATCCCTCTATAATCTGCAGGTCTTGTTGGGAGCTCCAGACCTCCAGCATACCGCCGGGAGGCAGCGCTGGAAATCCCCACTGAAACGATGTAAACGCTGGCATCTCTTCCTGATCACAGTCAATAATTGTCCCTTAATTACGATTCACGTTTGATCCTCAGAGCGCCTGACAAAGTCCCCGCTATCAGCACCGCAGCAGCCGTACAATCTACTCACCATCAACTGAAGGAGAGAGCACACCCCCTGGTGGCGAGCCGGAGGAATGATTGGAACAAAGAAAAAAAACAAGCATCGTTACGATAACGATAATAATCAGAGGAAGGATGCTCACCTGAGGATTCCTTTGGGAATGTTCCCTGAGAAGGCGGGAAGAACCGGGATCATTCCAAAAGCTCTCATCCGCTGTAGGATTTTAAACTGCAGGAGGAAGAAGAGGAGGATGATGATGGTGAGAAAGCACTGCTGAAATGGTTTCTTCCTCATTAATGAGCTCCGCCCATCTACATAACCACTCTAGCTAGTCCAGTTCTGTCCCTGAGGTCAGGGCCCCGAGCTGATCTGGATTAAAATGTCCTCCTTCGTCCCTTGGAGCAGCCCCCCCTCCCCGTCCAACAGCTGCTGAATTATGGGAAATCTTTGGGATGTTCTAGACCTACAAACCTACAATGCAGCGATAGAGCTGATTCCTTCCCGCTATCATCGCAGACCCAACCCCCTTAAAGGAGAACAGAAGCCCTCATCTATTCAGCCAGACCAACAATTCCCTTTAACGACCCCCCTTTCAGAGACATAGACAGGTATGGGGCATTGCAGGCTAACAAAAAAGCTAAACGACCCTCATTCCAAAAGGGGGGACCCGCTCCTCCGGTTCAATTTGCATGTTTTCTAAACAAAAACAAGGCTTTGTTGGGCTGCTGTATAAAACCTGGAACTTAACATTTTGAATTGAAAAAGTTTCCTGGATGGAAGAGAAACGTCTTCAAACTTCGGAACAAAGTCCAGTGGATCGTTTTTAACTTTTTTGGAATGTCTCTTTACAGGGAACTTGCGGCGCCATTTGAACTGATGAAGAATGCGTCTCCACGGCGATGTTCAGAGTAAATGCTGATCGATCTGACGGGTGAGGAAGGCCACAGCCTGATGGTCTGATCTAAGGTTAGAGAGGGGAGGAGCCACGGATACCTGGAGCTGCAGCTGGTCGACGTGCCAGGACGGAGGCAGCGGCCCACCGAAGCGGCCCATGTTGGCCATCCGGTTCCAGGCCAGGAATGCCGGGCCGGAGAAGAACTCCTCCAGCTCAGTCTCGTTCAGGCCCATAGCGCGGTACACCTGCAGGAGAAAGGAGATGATTGAAAGCACTTTATCAAATCAATCTGATTTCTTTACATAAAATATAAGAAACGAGTCTAAAAATTATGAAATCTGAGAAAAGTTCCTTTGTGTGCCTTTGAAAAGTGCCTTTGATGAAGACATTTTTCAAACTTTTACTTTAGGATTCGTTTTTTTTTTCCATTTTCAACTAAAAGGATCTAACAGGTGCTAACAGGAGCTAAGAGGTGCTAACAGGAGCTAAGAGGTGCTAACAGAAGCTA